GTAAAGGATGTATACAAGTTAGTATCACTGTGTGCTGATAATTTCTTTAGTCATTTGAATGCAAGACTTGGAATATATATCTTCAAATCCTGTCAAACTGGAGATTAATGTTTTAGAATCATTTGGCAAGAGAAACAAGTATTATAATTACTTATGCTAATAAAATTATTGTGACTGGATTTCAATTTTTCCTAAATATTCTTTCTCTTGTCTATGTTGTTCCAACAGTGGGTTTGAGCCCTCACACTGTGAGAAGCACAGTGCTAAGATCCGTTGTGACATCAAAGGCCTGAAGAGAAAGATGAGCTCACTGGGTACACCCTGGGAGACTCTACAAGACAGTGTCTCGCAGATGGTACATAGCTTCAGATTTTAATAAAGAGTTAACCCTTAGTAATTCCCTTTAACATGGGGATTTAACTCCTAAATGTCCAAGGCATTAATTACTGATAACTACTGGGTACCAAGCCTGTACACTGGAAGTGTTACTGCCTGATGGTGGAAACACAAGGCGATGGTTGATTAACGGTCTGGCCTCCGGTTTGCAGTTCACAGAGACAAGAGCAAAAGAGATCTGCATTTTCTCTATGAACTCTTGTATTTGTGAAAATTATAAATGAGTGGAAAATGATGCGAGGAATGATTTGGTGTTCAAAATGCCTCTGAGCTTTTCAGAGAGATTCTGTAAATAGCCATCAGTGCCAATACCCTCTAATAACTTGACCATCTGGTTAGAATTTTTAAAATTGGATTTTTCACTTCACAGATGTGAAGATCAGAAATGATGAAAATGTCTTTCATAAAGATGTTATGGGTTCACAGTGTTTACCGCGTATCCCAAGTGTGGATGACACCTGCAGAGCGGCGAGAATCCCACCCAGGAGATAGGGAAGGTTTGATCGTAAGTCAGTCAGGGCGTGCAGCGTTGGAGATGAACATTGAGGATGTCTACGGAACGCAAGAAAATGTTGAGTGGAGTACATAAAAGCATTATACCTGCTGTCAAAGGTACTCTGAAAATGGTGTTCCTTTTTCTTTTTAGACCTGTTTGTATAAGAGGTGAACTACAAAGGTCTGACTCTTCATGGCAAAGTTCCTAAGCCTGCTTGGCCTGTCTCGTGTACTTGGTCCTACATCTTCCTGTTCTGGTACACTGGCAATCACCAGACTCACCAGTGACTGGCGTCAGTTGGGTTCAACTCATTTGAGTGGTGTGCAGGCACATGGGTGTGGTTCCCCTGGTTTGTTGATCCTTTGCTAGCCTTAGTTTTCAAAGCATTTGCTGAGCTTTTTGCCCATAATTTGATTTGACTTTCTGTCATCCGTAGTCTGATGCACTTGCTTGAGCTTACCTTTACTTTTTCTTATTGTTTTGAGAAAATGGAGTGTCTGATTAAGGACAAAACCGAATTTATTAATTTATTCTTGTTGCTGCAATTGGAGCAAGTTGAGTGGCCCCAAGTCCGTCCCTGAGTGGGGGAGTGTAGATGAGGGAAAGGCTAGCTATAGATGATAAAGAAAATCCAGAGAGACAGAATAAAGATCAGCAAGGCAGATCAGTCAATACTGAAATGCCATGAGTTTATTTTTCACTACTCTTCTATACCTTAACCAAAAAGGGGAAAACAGTGTCATGTACAGGGAACAAACAGACTTTTATTCCTCACTTATTCTAAGGGTCCAGTAACCACACCTTAGATTCAACTTCTCCCCTAGTCTTGAGAGCCAGGAGTAGCCACACCTCAGATACAGGTCTGTAGTTATTCAGACTAAGACGGCCAATCATCCTTTTGTGGCCACACTATTGACCTTTAGGTCTTATGACTTGCTGACAGCTTTGAACTCTCTGTCTTGTTCCAAGATGGAGTGCACCCATCTTTATGGGCACCCACATCTTGTATGGTTACTGCGTTTGTAAATATTGTTAACTGTGGTTCATATTTGATAACTGTCTTGTTATATATTTTACTATGCTAAGTTTAAACCCTTCTTTTTATTTAGACAGAAAAGAGGAGATGATGGGAGATGTCATTCTGTAAATATGTTCCTCTTATTGGTTAATGAATAAAGCCCTGTTGGCCAACAGGAAAACAAGATAGGCGGGACTAGGAGATGAGGAAGATTCAGGAAGAAGCAGGGAGGCGATTCAAAATGTAGGACTGAGAGAGAACAATTCCGGATCCTCCCTCTGGTAAAATAAGACCACATAGAGATACTTTGGTTTGATAGAAATGGGTTAATATTTAAGACAGAGCTAGCTAATAAGAAATGCTAGTAACAGACCAACAACATTATATCTAATACAGTGTCTCTGTGTGCTATTTGGGGCTGTCGCGGCTCTGGGACCAGGGAGGTGGAAAAACATGCTCGTAACACATGTGCCTGGAAAACCCTAGATATCTCAATATCACAAAGGTCTTTTATCCGACTCTTAAAATTTTATCATGGGTTTTACAGTTTTAGCTTTTGCCTAAGCCGTTGGCCAAACAGTTTGTAAATTAATATAAGTCTCTGTGTGTTAATTTGGGGCTGATTGGCTGTGGGACCAGGCAGAGCCGAAACTCCAGCTACAAGTCCCCTTGTCAGATCGAGGGAGGCCATCTACACAGGAGAATCTGCCAGAGTTCATAGAGATTGGTACAGTGCATCCCTTTTCATGTTGGTGGCCCTGTTACTCTTCATATCCTGCTTGTAACTGACCATGACTACAGCGGGACTGACATTGACTGCCCTGGGTCTTTGCTCCTCACTATTCCTCTGAAGGGAGTTCGCTCTGTCACCATTTCCCTCGAGCCTGGAATGTCTCTCATTTAGCATTTCTTGTACCACAACTCTATAGTTGATTACTTTTCTGATTTTTCATTGCTGTTCCTTTATTTTCGTCCTTTGAAGGATGTCCTTGTAGATATTAATATTCTTAGTTGGCAGACACTTCCGATGCCTCGTGGCTCACCGTTTCTGTGCAGTCGGCCAACGGTCCTGTCCTCCTGTGGTTTTCGTAGCCTCCATTTCCGTTCTCCTGGGCTTGCTTTGCTGTGACTGACCTGCTCTCCCCATCAGTCCTTTCCTTCTGCAGCCTAGACTTGATGTTACTTGGCAAGTCCCCAGGCCACTATTCATTACGTTAGCCTTGTACTCTCTGTTCCCTTATCTTAGTTCATGGCCATTTACCCCTTCTCCTGCCTCTTCTCATATGCAAGACTTTTACCCTGGGGATTTTGCATTCCAGTTCTAGAACTTTCCCCTTTTTCATCTTTATACTATGCTGAGACTCTTCATCTGTTCATCCATCAAGACTATTTTTATTGGAAGTATCTCAATAGATACTTTAAAGCTCTTGTCTGTTAGTTACAACGTGTGGGTTATCTCAGTTTGTTTCTTCTGGATTCTTTAAACATCAGTCACCTTTCATGTTCATTTGCTTACTTGTATGTCTAGTGACTGTGCTGTATAATGGATTTCTTGAGTGGTAGGGATTATTCTTTAAAAGGTAGGTGTTACCAGGCAGATCACAATTTGTGATTCTTTCACCTGTTGGTTCTTGGCTTACCATGTCCATGGAGTTGGTCTAGAGTGGCCCTCACTTAACTTCTTTCTCCAAACACAGTGGTTTTAATGGCTCAATAGAATTCTGGAGGTATAACTAAAAAAGTCTTTCACCGCTGTCCTCTGCACTTATAGTAGCATGTGACCTCTCTGGTTTTGTTTCTCATGGAGTATGCATGACTTCTTAACATCTCAAGCTGGAAAATACAAAAGAGAATAGTAGAACTATTTGATGTTTTACTTCATAAAAATTATTCACTTTGTCATCCAGACAGCATGTTTTAAAATAGTTTTTTTTTTTTTTTTTGGCATTCAAAAACTAATCACTTAATTTTCATTCCATAACTTGTTGAATTTCTAATTTATTATATGCATAATTTGGATGTGTGGGAGCATATACATATATGTACATGCACATGTATGGATAAACAGATGCCTATGTGCTTAATAAGTGAAACACAAAATGATAATAAATGAGCCTATATTCCAAATGGGTTTCTAGACTTGACTCAGGCTCTACTACAAGAGCCCTGCTCATACTGTCGTTTAATAATCTATGTACCCAACAGTGTGTGCGTGTGTGTGTGTGTGTTCTGGGAATTGAACTCATGACCTATACTTGCTAGGCAAGTAATGGGTGGGAATGGAGATTCACTGGACTCAGTTAAGTGAGATTTATCCCAGGAGAAATCACTTACACATGAAACAGATGACCGCTGTGGGTTCCCGCTCCAAGGACGCCACCCTGCCACCCGGATGCTCTCCGCAACCGGACCAGGAAGCACAAGAGTACTGGACCCCAGTCCTACCTTCCCCCCAAGTCCTCACCTATGACCACACCCAAATGGGCATGGTCAGTGCAACAGGTGCGGGCAGGGTGGATATCTCACCACAGGCAGGCAGTCCTCTACTAAGCTGGCTGTTTCCCCAGCTCCGGTAATTTTTTTCTTGTCCGCTTGCCTCCATTGTGTGCTGAGTATCTGCCTGTCTATCTGCGAGGATTTGGGAGCACGCTGCTTCTTTGTGCTGTGATTCACGCCCTTTTCATCGGTAACGGGCCTGTGATGAATTCAGTCTATTAACTGTCATTTCTGTGACTGTGACATGGAAGCTGCAGGACAGTCACCAAGAATAAGTAGCATCCCTTCTCATTGTTCTAGCACTGGCTTAGCTGAGAAAACACACCCGCCGCCTCGCTCCTTCCAGGGTTAGCGGATTTCTGATAAAACCTTCATTTTCCTGCCTCCTTAATTCATCTGAAAATGTGTTTCAGGAGCCTTTCTTGGCAACATTACAAAGCCCTATGATATAACGTTTGAAATATCGTTTCTGCCGAGGGTGTGATTAATACCACTTCAATTTCAACGTCAGATATTTGTTTTCACATTTTAATGAAAGGAAAGTGAAGTAGTAATGGCAAAAGTAGTAGTAATCCCTTGAACACCTCTTAACAGATTCATTTTGATGGCTGGCGCCACAAATATGGCTACTGGATGGATGCTGATAGCCCTGACATTCACCCCATTGGCTGGTGTGACGTGACGGGGCATCCACTGGAAGTACCACATGGTAAGCGATTTTCTCTTTGTCGTTACTTGGAAATACTCAGCCAGAATTCCACTCTTATTGTTGCTTGTCCGTGTCATTATAGTTCATCTGAAAGCTAAGTAACAGACAGGTGAATTAATTAATAGCTGTTAAAGCTAACTCTGAAAGCCAGTTATTCACAATTAAGGCTCAGAGGGCACAGTTTAGATGGGTGAGACATAAATAATCACTAAGAGATAATTCTCATGTTTTCTGAATCAATCTTCCTTTTCTCTATTTTGGCTTGAAGCAAAATGGAGCCGGCATTTCTAAAATCATCTGATCCTTCTCACTGAAGCTGGATCAACCTTTAAGCACCCCTTGTTAATTTTATCATATACAATAAGCAAATTGTAAAATTTTCCCCAAAATATTTTTAAATTCCAGAATCAGAGTGAAGGAACTTTCTTCCCTGTTGGGATCTGTGTTATGTCTGCCTTCCTAGCCACTTAAAGCAAAGGAGGAAATTAAGCCCTCTAAATTCTAATGAGCTTCCAACTGAAATACCGTATTTTGTCTGAGGGAGTCCTCTGACCCGATTAGGCTGTCATGGTGAATCACTAGTTCCAGGCCTTGGTCCCAACAACATTCTCCATTACGGAGTCTGTTTTCTTTCCCTGGCTGTCTGTTTCTCCTTCCATCCCTCAGCCTCTTGAGGGGAAGCTTGAATGGTAATAGTGAGGGTTTCTTGTTGTGGGATATTTGTGCAATGTGTGAAAATGTGTTTCTCTGATTGGTGTCATAAAAAGCTAAACAGCCAATAGCTAGATACGAGATACAGGCGGGACTTCCAGGCAGAGAGAGGAAGCAGGAGATGGAATCTAGGTGCATGGATGCCAGGAGACACAGAAGAAGCATGGTGGGCGGCGCGTGACAGAGTGTAGATTAGTAGAAATGGGCTGATTTAAGTTATAAGAACCAGTTAAAAACAAGCCCAAGCTAAGTCCACACTTTCATGATTGACAAGCCCCCTTGCATTATTGGTGAGCTGATGGCCCAGATGAAAACCCAACTACATATGGCATTCAGTGTGGATGCTCCAGTATCTGGACGTAAGGCCTGAGAATCAAGCTTAGAGAAGTTCTGGACAAGGAGCCAGATGTGGCTAACTTCAAAATGAAAGTCAGAAAAGCATGTTGTGTTGGGGGAGAGGTTGTGCGTTTATTTCCTTAGGAAACAAAAAGTTATGGTTCTCTTAAAAATTAATAAGGATCAGATTTGATTGGGGGAGGCCGCCTAAGAATCTTGAATGCAGTCACGAAGAAAACAAGAAGGACGTGTCCTACGTGTACTGTGGGACAGCCCTCATACTTGACACAACACGATGGATCTTGTATGGATAGAGTGTTGGTTATGCAAAGACACCTTAGCCCTCAGCTGGTGTCCCATGTCCATGTGGTGAGTAGTGAGGATCTATGGTTTGTATTCCCAACCGTAGTTTATACAAACAACCCTAGTAAGTCATGTTCTATTTCTGAGTGGTACTTTAAGTTAAATAGTTGATCAATGTATTCATATAATTCAAGCCATACCCTTTTTCCTTTAGGTCTCCGGTATCCTTGACAATACGATGAAAATAATTGTATTTCATAAATCTAAACAAATCTAAACCCACACATAGTACTTATCTATCGTCTATGAACAGATGCAGTCATCCAAATAATGTTGATGTTGAAATATTTTAGTGGCATTTCTACTTTAAGATAATTTTTTTGAGATGGGTTCTCACTATATTGTTTTGGCCATACTGGAACTCAGTACATAGACCAGGCTGGACTTGAACTCACATAGATTTACCTGCAATTGTCTGCTGGGTGCTACGATTAAAGACCATGCCACTACAACTGGCTTGGATAATTTTTAAAGTCTATTGTTTTATTTGTAATTCATTATCTATGGCAATCATGCTTTATTTATCACATTACAAAGACTTTTTAAAAGTTTAGACAGAGAAAATCTTAGATATCATGTAACTTATCTTCTTAAAGAGTTAGAATTTGTCTCAGATGTCATCTACTTTATTACTTTAGGTTTGTGAAATTTCACAAGTTACTCAACTTGCCAGAAACATTAGGCTAAAATAAGATGATCAGAAGGAGATGTGATTTGAAATATTTGTAGCCTATTGTAGCATATTGTTCACATTGCTTTCCATTTGTTGATAAAGTATTTTCCCTTTGGACCATTCATACTACTATTGTGATATAAATTATGATATTTAATAAAATATATATTATAATAAATTCCCAAGAGGCAAGAAAGAAAGCACTTCCATATATGCTATATATGTGTGTAAGCATTCATGCATGTGATCATGCATGTAAACACACATACACACACACACACACACACACACACACACAGAGGCAGGTGTCGTTCTTCAGATTCCATCTGCTTGGTCGTTTAGACAGCATCTCTCATGAGCCTGAATTGTAGTTTAGCCTGGCTAAGTAGTAATCTTGAGGGATCCACACATTTCCTCCTCCCTGAGCTGGGATGACAAGTATGTCCCACCATGCTCTGCTTCTCTGTATGGGTCCTAGGAACTAAATGCTTGTGAGGGAAGCACTTCACAAACTAAACCTTCCTCGGACCCTAGGGTTGCCTCCTGACAGCATCATTTTGGAAGCTGTTAACCCTAGCCACATTTCATACCACAAAATAAAGGTCGTTTATACATTACACCATTCATTATTTACAGAGATTACCAATTCCATTGTGTCCAGCATTTCTTGCATTAAGGAATTAGCCAGGTTTCAGAAATAAGATGGTAGAGGTCAAAGCTAGACAGCCCTGGGTTTAGATTTCTGACTGACTTTGAGCATACTTCTTTACCGCTGAGCCACAGTTCGGGGAGATAGACTATAGATCCTTGGCTTTCATGCTACCTTGTGACCAGCAGGAACCAAGCAAGGATGGAAGGCCAGGGGTTTCTCAGGCCTCTTCAGTGTTTTTCATTGGCCCAGAAAATGAACACGGTGTGTGTTCCTCCTGCATACCCGTTACAGTTGTGCTGTGGATGATATTGATTAACTTTTCAAATAATTCAAAAGCATTTAGAATTGATCATTGGTTTGGGCATATGAAAACCAAATTTGTCTGAGAACGAGCTTTCCCATTCTCTAAATAGACATCAGAATACATTATGAATGGCGAGTCAAATAAAATTACCCCCATCTATGTGTTCAAAAGTTTCTAGTTGTCGGATAAAATGGACATGATCAGTCTTTACTTCTGCCCTCTCCCGACACCTCCTTCTTGCCCTCTGACCCCCACCTTCTGGTTCCCTCCCCAGGGTTCTGCGTGTGCAAGGCAGCCTCTTGACCACAGACATGCACCCCAAGTCCCCATCTTTTCTTTGTGATTTTGGCAGTGAACCTTCCTTCGGCCTCGGCCTCTGGCTCTCCACTCTCTGCTCAGTCTCTGTTTCGGCTCCTCCTCTTTCATCCCTTGCGCTTGGTGCCGATCTTATCTAATATGTGAGCACTGTAGGACTGTCTGTAGCGGTAGCTCTGCACGCACCTGCACTCACTTGTACATACACAAACATACATGCAATTTGAAAAGAAAAAAATAATCTTAAAAAATCAAAACAAAACAAAACGAAACCAGGCAACAAGAAAGTCCTCTCTTGTGAATCAGACTTAAACAAAATAAAATATGTGACAATATGAAAATTCTTTGATTACACATTAGTGTTCAGGTCAGAATGAAATCAGCTATAAAAACGTGGTGAGACCCAGTGACTCTGGAAGGTGCGGTGGAGACGGGGAAATCAGTTTCTTTAACCGCACACAGGTGTGGGCTACCCCCTGACCACTGTCAGACATTTTCAGCGGCACGCACGTAACTCTGGGATGATAAAGCCCACACGCCATGACAAGAGCTGGTGGAATGTGAAACGGGATGGTGGAGAACATTCCGCATCACGATGGTTCTATTCCTTCCACAAAGAGTCGCGGGGAATGTTCTTGTGCGGGGCCATCACATCAGATATGGTACCCACCCCCATTTCTTACGTTTCCATATAGGAAAAAAAGTTCCTCTCCTGGTTTGAGCATTATATAGAAGCAAGATTTCATAGACACAGGAGAGATTATTTGGTCCATCTTCCCAGAAAATGTCTATCAACCTAAAGGTACTTTGTCCTTGAGAGTCATCAAAACTAGGGATGAAGAAGATAAAAGTATGCATATTTTATCCAGAGGTCAGGGGGCTGACTTACACAGATTGATGACTGGCTGTGGTTAGACCATACTTCCTGCCCTACCCTGACCCCTGTATATGTTCCTTTGTAAACAGGCTAGTCTCTCTCTCTCTCCCTCTCCCTCTGTCCCTGTCTCCCTCCCCCTATCTCCCTCTCCCTCTCCCTCGCCCTCTCCCTGCAGGAAGCAGTTTATTTAGCTGATAAAAGAGTTAGAAGTCAGATCTGAGAAGGGTAGGTTTGCCGGCAGCTCAAAGGTCAGGGGCTTTGCCTAGGGAGATGTCTAAGCTCTCTTCCATGAAGTAAAGCCCTTGAGAGGCCTTTGGACAATCTTCTGGAGTGATGCCTCAAGGCAGCCCCCTAAAAGAATGATCCCTGGCCGTTCACTCCAGTCCCTATGTATCTCTCATGAGAGCTTTGCCCTTGGCCCCAGAATGCTCACCTATTATGTCTCAAGAACTGTCCATCTTCGTTCTGAGGCACGTTGGAACTTCTGGAACTTTCTATAGCCCACGTGGCTGTGCCAAAAGCGAGCCCATCTACTTGTCCAACAGCCTGCTGCATGTGGATGGAGCCAGGTGGGATCTTTTCCTAAAGTTATAAAACCGCTCCAATACTAAACCAAACAGATCACCAAAGGAAACACCTTTACCATTTAGGGGCACTGTGGTTGCAAACAGGTGCCCACTTTAGAGCTAGCACAGAGAGATAAGCGGCGATATGGATGACGCTGACCTGAGAAGGGACAAGTGTTGAAGCACACACCTCTGAACCTCCT